ATGTAGCCCACATGTATATGTACATAATGAACACGATCCCCACCAAAAAACAATAGTGGGGAAAGTCCACAAGTTTAAAATCAGAGCAAAGAGAAGTTTAACCTCATGAGGACATTCAGAACTAATTAGACTCGTCAAGCAGTGGCAGTACTGGGCCACACTGTGCAGCCAGAACCGGGACAAGCAGTCCAAGAACAGCTAGAGAGCCCGGCTCGCTCAAGCCAAAGTTTTCGGAGGCAGCACTTACAATGAGTTCAATCCAAGTTAACAACAAAAGTGGCATCTTAGAATACCCAAGGGGTGAAGGAAACACTTCCAAAACCCTTGAACAAAGTTAGACACAGTCAGGCACAATCCTGAAAACTGGAGAAGTGGCGGCTCGGTACATTCTCCCTTTAAAAATAAAATATATTTTACATTACTGCCATTACTTAATGGAAACTGGACTGACGTCTGTTCTTTTGAGTGTGCCTTTAAAATCCACTGAAACTTTCTGGACACAAATAATCCATTACAGTCACCTCCGACTTGTTTGTTAAAATGCTGACATGTTGATTGGTTAATTGAGGGAGAATTCATCACTCAAGATCTGAGGGAGAAGAAAGGTTCCAAGTGTTGTTTTGCTTTCATCGTGTTCTTTGAAAAATCAAAGACAGATATATAAAAAATTAAAAAAGAAAGAAAGAAAGCAAACAACCACTCAGAAATAATAAGTGAACCTGGAAGTGTGACAGGTTGTTTGGCAGAAATGCTCAATTTTTCAATAAAATAAAAAAACAAAAGGGCAGAAAAATAATAAATAAATAAAGATAACGAGTGGTGTAAAGGGCAAAAAGTGTTTCAAAAGTCTGGAAAATAAAAGGGAGGGAAAGTCTGCTGTTTGTGCGTACCTGGTACTGCTTGAGCATGCCGTTGATCAACAGCGATGACTGCTTCTCCACCTTCTCGATGACGGCGTGGGCCACACCATAGTACGACTGGGAGCTGGTCTGCCCAGCGTCAACGCTGTACTCGTCGTCCACGTCCTGCTTGGCCGATCTGAATATGTGTGACATTTGGAGAGAGAACGTTTGAAACTATCATGAACCCCAACTGAACTCTTTAAAACAGACTTTCATGATGTTTCAAGCCTTAGCTGGGAGCTCAGCTTCACGACAGCCTGAGCTCCTCTGGAAGTTTAAATTCAATACCAACACTCCTGGAGTGTATCTGTTTACTTGTGAGGCTGCTGCTTCTGGGAAAAACCAAAAGGAGTCTCGAATATGTTATAACTTTAAATGTTGAATATTTTTCCACTTGTTGAAAATACTCCAAAGGACACTAAATATCCAGTACGCCTGAACTGGACCAGATTTTTTCATCTAACTGAAGCAATTACTGCCAAGTAAGTGTGAGATAATAGGAGGTAATACAGTACTCGATGATGTGCTTGGCAGCCTTGACAGTCACTTCATCTCCATTGGGATCGATTATCTTCTTCTCCTCCGTTTCTGTCTTCGCCAACTCGTCCTCCTCCTAAAAAGGCAAAGTTGATAACCAATGATTGATGGCATACTTAATATAATAACAACAAAAAAGCAGCTCTGTTGTGGAAAAAGAGCGAGTAGTGCGTACAGCTACAGCCCCCTTGTGGTTTTCGATGCGTGCACCTATTTTAATCCCATTTAATAGCATTTGGATGCTTTGAAGGAGAATCTGAAATCACCGACTGTGAAGTTTATTAATGAGAAAGTCACTGACCTCCTCCTCAAACTCTGAGCCGCTCTCCTCGCTGTCAGACCGGGGGGCGACTTCATAGCTGTTTATAAAGGGGGAAAAAAGGGAAACACAAAGAACAGTTACAGCATGTCATCCGTCTGTCACACAGAAGCAACCTTTACTATTTATCGCCTAACAAGCAGCAGTTTCCAACACAGGCAGGAAGGAGGTTTATCACACTTATAGGGATGGCGTCTGGTTGAGTCCTCACTCAGCAGTGAGTGTGGCTGATTTAACCCAGTTCCACCCCTCTTGACAATCAGAACAGGAATCTGGTCTGAGATCTTGATTTGAATCAAGACTATTTGGTAGTGTGAGAGGTTCACAGATCCAAACTTTCCGATCTGCTCACCAGAGAGATAAAATGTGAAGTTGTTGCAACACAGAGTCGCTTCTGGTTGCGTCTGCTTCCCCATGATATCATGAGAGGCAGTGCTCTGCTCCCTAAATGCTCCCTCTAGCGTGATTTTACTGCTCATGTAGTGTGTGATTCAGCATTATTTTCATGTCTTGTAATGTATGCATGTCTGAGATTAGAGAGAAGAATATCTGTCATGTTTCTCCTTATGTATGTGATGCAGCCTGATTTTAAAATCTGTTAGGATTAGTAGTGTGAGCCTGGTATTAGAAGACTGAGCAGCGCTGCACCTCTATGGAAACAGCACAACCACAGCTAGCAGTAGAGAGAACAGAGGAATGTCTTCTGTGCAGGATAACATAATGCAGTGAATTAAATTTAAAAAAAGAAAAAAATTAATGAAAACTCAATTATCTATTCATTTTACAAAAATGGGGGAAAAAAACAAACTGAAAGTAACACCCCACTGGTGTCATCAAGACTGTATAAAGTGTAAACACAGCCTGAAGCTCAGCCGAAAAGTTTGTGAATTTTTGTCACGTGACTGTTGGCTGCAGCTCAGTTACTGATGTATTCACAGCTGCACTGAGGAGCGCAGATTTTTTTGTTTTTCACAGAATCTGGTCATTGCAAGCAGTTTTGTTTTGGGTTTTTTGCCAATTTTTTAAATGAGGCATGCAGAATTAAGTGATTTTGGGGAAATATTTCGATTTTAAGCTTAGATTTGCTTGTTTTTCCCCAATAAAACGGAAAGCCACAGGGCTGTTGGGAAGTTTAAAACTCTGGTTGCTCCAGTTTCTTGCTCTAAAATATTGTGTAATTTAAAAAAAAAAAAAACAACTAACATGCTGGTTTCAGGAGATTTACTAAAAGTGCTGCCCTTGCCACAAGTTCTGCTTTGGTTTCTAATTCCCTCTCCTTTGGGGGGAACTCTTGAGTCTAAATGTAAGCTCCATTCAGGGGGTGAAGCTAAATCCAGGCTTTAGGTACCATCTGTAGAAAATGCGTGCTACTGATGGTTGGCAAGGTGCTGAACACAGCAATTAATAAAGCAGGACGTGTTAAGATAAGCACTGCAAGGAAGAGAGCTGAAATATACGGAGTCATTCTGCTTGTTGGGGCAACTTTTCTATCAGTCGAGGATTATGGAGACATTTTACACATGCAAGTCTCAGCTGCGACTCCTCTGCGCTGCAGGATTTACCATCACTGATAATTATAATGCTCATCACTGTGAATGCTGAGGTTGGTCATCCCTCACATTAAAGGTTGAGAGACACTCAGTTGCATATACTTATGGGGCCCTGGTAGATTCTATACATCTTTACGTTAATTCACTGCTGTCTGTTAACGTGGGCTCTTATCAAACTTGCTCACATGATTGGATTACGGTGTTTCTACTGAGCTTTAGAAATCCATTTACGCATGCACCTGCAATCTGGAATTACCTGCAGAACAATCTAAAGGTTTTTATTCTAAAGGAGATTCAGGTCTGTAAGTTTTTCATAATTTTGCATTTAGCTGTTCTTGTTTTAGCTGATCAACCTCGTCTTCAATCCTAATTGCTCCATTTAGTCATAATGGTTCTCTTTCTGTGCTGAAACCTTTTTGGTTGTGTGCCCACGTCTCCTGTTTGTTTGTGTCTCTGCTCTACTTAATAAATGTAAATGAGGCCTTTACTAAAATGTAGCCCCGAGTTTAAATAAATAAAGGTTGGAGTATTGACTCTGACATACTTAGAGTGTTGTGCACTTCACTGCAATGTCCATGAAACTTTTATTTGCACTGTGGGGGGATATTTTAAAAGTTAATGGCAATTCCTGGTAATATCAGGTAGCGTTTAACTTTTACAAAATCCTGTGCAATACTGACATTTAAAAGACATTACACGTGCATTTCATCTGTTTCCCTCTGCCATCCTTGACTCTCTTCCCTTCATCCTGACTTTAACTGGCTTGATCATTATTCTCATGAAAATTTCTTCTTCTTAAATTCAGTTTTTCTTCTTACTGTCACCAAACTGCTTGCTCAAAGGGAAACATTGGATCTGTTGGTTTTCTCTCTATGATACAGTATAATACAGTCAGTCTTCACAGTGGTATGTGAAGTGTCATTGCAAAAAAAACGTTGATCCTTTCCAGTGACGTATATTTGAAGTGTGAAATACAGTGTAAAACGGAGCAGAGCCTAAGCAAACTCCTTACAGATTCCTACACGTCTGGGTCATTGGAAGCTCCTGGTTACAGGTAATTAGGTTCCCATAGTGGAAAAGGTCTAGAATTCCCAGAAGAGCTGCCTTTAGGAACAGATTCTTGTCTAATGACTAGAATAGCGGCTTGAGAATGATGACCGTTTTATTGTATAATAGGTTGTGGCATGTCAAGAGCTTAATGCAACACATTAAGCTTAATTCTGGACTTAAAGGAAATTCTAGGGAAATCGTTTGGCAAGTACAACATCTTCTTCCCGGTCTTAGTGACTGTGGTGTGTAATTTAAGTGTCAAGAATCCCTGACAACTCACTGTACTTTCCTGAACACAAACAAAAACATCCCTTTCATTTCAAAGAGGCTGACAACAGTATTATCCAATAAAGCGCCTCCTCACCCGGGGTTCATCTCGAGCCAGGCCTCCAGCTGGCTGGATTTGGGAGCGTCCGTTCCCTGCAAAACTTTGCCCGTCTCTGTCTGGATCACTTTGACCGGCAGCTCGCTCATTTGGCTGCTCTCATCTATGGGCTGCCAGTCAAACGAAACACAAGGAGAAACATGCATGAATAAAGCAGAACTCATGAAGGTCAACTTCAAACACATATTAATGCTTTGAGCATTTAGAACAGAGCAAATAAACCTTCAGTTTTAAAATTATACAAAGTACTTCTATTGTATATCTTTCATGAGTCACTCCTGATAGAAGCTTTTGCTGTTGTCATGGCTACATATTATACAAAAAGATAGAAACAAAATTTAAACAATAACTTGAACCTGAAAATATCATTATTATAATTAATAATATTATTATTATTATAGAACTTTTAATTACTTGTGTAACTCCAGGTCACGACGCTGAACAAGAAAATGATGCACCTCAGCTAAACTTTCATCCTTGCTTCAGCGATTCATCTATTCAGCTGATACTAGAAAACAAAGTGGGAGTAATAAATCTCACCTCTTTCTGACTTCCAAAGGCTCCTCAATAAACAACCACCAGAACATTAATGAGTGTTTCTTCCAAAGATGGCCATCAAGGCCCTAACACGTGTCTTTCTGACAGGAGCGAGAGAAGGAGGACGCAATTAAAAAGTGTGGAAAGCTGTGAATGAAAACAAACACCGCAAACGGGAAGCTGTGAATGAAAACAAACACCGCAGATGTCTGTTTGGTTTGTGTTGCATTATTTACAAGATGTTCGATTGGCTTCTGTTGTACTATCGCCCAGGGAGCAGTCTACCTCTGAAAGCATAATTACTGTTTGTTTGATCTGATGTTCAAATATATATATATATATTTTTTATAATTTCTGCCAGAGTGCATTCTGAGGGCTGAGGAGAAGCACTGGTTTTACTTCACAGCAGCAGCGATTCAGGTATCAGTAAAAGCACAGGTGTAATTAATATCATCACTGTAATGTTTTTGTGAAAGTTAAATATTTGCAAACAGCTTGAAATCAACCTGTAAATCAGGTAGAAACGTAAAACTAGAAATACCCTTTAAAATGGCAGCAACTGATGTCAAGACAGCTCTGGAGTCATGTTTCCAGCCTCCTAAGGAGGAAATATCTGGCTCTTAGGCTCGTAAAAGCTCCACTATGTTCAACAGCTTTGATTTAATTGTGTATGTCTGTGGTTTGGTGTTCAGTAGGTAGTGTGCAAGGGGTTTTTTTGGAGATTTTTCTCTGAAAAAGCTAAACAATGATCTAAAATTCCTGACGAAGCTCCGTGAAGTCAAGGGAACCGGTAAATTAAGGTTGGAACTCAATACACTTTCACACTGTTGATATGTGTTTCCTTGTAAGCACATTTTTCTGACTCCACAAAGAAATAATTAAAAAAAAAAAGAAATTGAAAAGGAAAGAAAATGCAAATTTGTCTTGTTTTTATGAACAAGTTTGGTCGAATAAACTGGGATGCACAGCGTCATCAGAAGGGGGGAGTTTAGGCTACACGGCTGTAATAAACAGCAGAAGAAGAAGCTGCTAACAAAAGAAGTTGTCTGCAAGCTACTGAAAAACCTTGAGGAAGAAAGAAAGAAAAACAAACACAAAACTTTGGCCATTAACTAGAGAAAAATGGGGAGCGCGCTTCAGCAATTGTTTTCTATCAGAAAAGTTGCAATTACTCCGTCATGCCAGTTCTCTCAAGGCAAAGACAATGAAAGATTGTAAGTCAAGTGATTAACGTTTGCTAAACCATCTCCCATGATGCATTTTTTGTAAATGTGGGAATTTTTCCATGAATTTTTCCTGAGGCAAAGGAAAATCTAACATATACAGTTCAGCATTGCAGCTTACCTCTCCATCAGGCCCAAAGGCACTGGTGCCTTCGCCATCTCCATCCACCTTCTGGACACAAAACCAACACATAAAAGCAATCAGGCAACATTTCTTTGCACATGTTGGTATTGCACGTCACAGCAGGGTACAATCAAAGCATTGATAATGCCAGCATTACATGATAACTAAGAAATGGGGTCTCCAAAATGGTCTTCATTGCTTTTAGTGGGACCATTCCTCTGTTCAAGGGCAAGGTTGCTTACACTCTAAGCAGAGGTTTTAAAGGAAAAGCTCTCAACGTGGTAATCAACCCTCATCTAAGGTACTCCGTTTTGACCTGCCACGTTGCTGCTGAAAGTATTTCTCAGAAGCTATTCCCAGAATCAACGTCACACGCGCTCATCTGAAGTGGCAGCATATGGTTACAGAAAAAGCCTTGTCAAAGTGCGAACATCAGCGTCGAGGATGTCATGAGGGGCTGAGGGTCCACAGGTGTTTTTTTCAGCAGAGGAGACACGAGTTCACTGATTAGTTCAGCCTCTGTGGCAGAGGATGTGAATGTAAGTGTGTTACTCTTGGCCCAACATGTCACCGAGTTTGAGACACTCTTAATGCTTCAAATGACAAGGCAGCCGTGTGTTTCTGGGCAACAGTCACTAACAAAATCAAAACAATGAAGAGTGACATTGATTGTTGTTTTATTGCTGTTTGTGTTTGTTGTTTTATTGTTTACTTTACTGCTGTCTCTGTTTTAAGTCACTTTATTGTTTTTAACTGTGAAGCACTTCAGTCCCCCTTTGGGCTGGTCTAAAGGGTTATATCAGGGGTGTCCAATCCTGGTCCTCGAGGGCCACAGTCCTGCATGTTTTAGATGTTTCCCTCTTCCAACACACCTGATTCCAATGATCAGCTCATCATCAAGCTCTGCAGAAGCCTGATAACGATCCTGATCATTTGAATCAGGTGTGTTGGAAGAGGGACACATCTAAAACATGCAGGACTATGGCCCTCGAGGACCAGGGTTGGACACCCCTGGGCTGTATGAATCAACTTTGATCGATTGATTAAGATAATTACAAGTCATACTTTATGCCATGGTTAAATGTGGTTGATGCTCCTGGAGAAGCCTGGACTGACTTTATATTAGAATCCACCACCAACCACATTATAATATTTTGAAATGTGACTAAAATCTTTTGTAATTTACTGCTTCAGTGAAAATGGTTTGTTCCACACACAAGGCAGAGACGCCAGAAAACACTGACAGACTGATTAACACACTGTTGGATAAACACTGGATATCAATACAGATTAAACAAAGAAGAGAAAGTCTGTGCTTTTCAGAAACGAGCTGAGTACAAATCAGTTCTCCGGCAGAACAAAGTGACATCCGACGAATAATCACCACTTGACCTTCCTAATCCTACCTTCTTTTTCTTCTTCCTCCTCTTCTTCTCCTTGGCAGCTTGAGCAGCTTTGTGTTCGTACACCAGCGTGGTGAGGTTGGCCACGTATTCATCCGTCTGCTGCAGCAAGTAGGCCAGACGCTTGTCTTTCTTCTGGTCGATGAGTTTTCGGTAGCCTTCCTCATCTTCTGCCTGGATAATAGATGGTGACAGTAGTTAATAGTGGGAGAGGACTAGAGTTTTACTTGAATCATTACAGCTTGAAAATAATTATTCAAAACCAGTCAGGCAACACTGAAGTGCAGTCTGGTGTAGTATTGCATCCATCGTATAAAACAGATCAGCTAGTTGCAAACAATAAACCTTTTAAATTTGATTCTTTATTGGCCAGACACCTCCACATTAAATATTTCTTTGTGCTAACCGCCATGCCTGACTAGTCACACTTACTACAAAGCACTTACTCTGCACACTGTGCAGCACTCAGTTCTCAGACATTTACATCACGTAAAATCATACTTTACACACTTCATAAACTTCTCGGGTATAAATACCATTTGTACAAGCTGATAAATTATTTCCTGTAAAGCAGTGAGGTGTAGTTACAGCCTAATGAATACAATAACTCCATTCTAGTCTCACATAGCCAGACTGTTCTCTTGCACAGTGAGCTGCTGGACTGAATGGTCTGGCTGCAACTTACTATCACTCTGCTATAGGGGGGAAAGCTTTAGCATGTTTGTGTTTCTTTAAATCAATTACAACTGTCTTGGGTGGGGCTGAGACCGCGATGCTCCCACAGTGTTCCATCTAAATAGTGATGAGGGAAACATTTTGGTTGTATATTTGCATGCAGGGGGGTGAGCACCATCATTAAAATGGATAATTTAGCGGGAAAAAAAACGAACAAGACTTCTTTATTGCATAATCCCAAGCTTGAAATGTTCTGTGTAGTAGGCTGCTGCTTGGAGGTAGGTTTTGTTACTCTGTGTATTGAGGAGGATTTTGATAACGGCTACATGTAGATAGTGAGAAATAGGAGGAGAAACCTGTATGAAATGACAGCCAGTGGCAGGCTTGAAGTACAACCAACATCCAGTGAGTCAAACTATGGACATATAGACAACAGCAGAAAGATGTTGAATGTCTCACATCTATATTCGTTAACCTAAATCACCTGAAGCCAACCAAGCTCAGTGGCTCTAACTTGCAGTGAATACAAGAAATATTGTGGGAGGGGTGGACTATTTTCAGGAGAGGCCTCAATCTTTTCCTATTGGTGGCAAACAGGCTGTTTTGAGTACATCAGACTGTAGCAGTAATGGTGCTAGTAAAGTTCAACCATCCAACCAGCACAGCTTCTATATCTATAAAGCTATGTGCAGCTTTGAAGACTATCATGTCTTTCATTTCAGATAAGGGTGACACAGTCTGGTTATCAGGTCCTCACCATAAGTCTCCTCATCCTCTCCTTCTCAATTCTCTCAGTCTCCTTCTTCTGCTCCCGCTCGGTGTTGGTGTGCCAGGTGGCGATGGCTCTGGTGAGTTTCTGCATTTTACCGGACACTGAGCGGTGGTACTCTTTGAAGTCCTTGGCGTGCTGAAGGATGCTGTTGAGATATTCCTGAAAAAGCACAGTCACAAAATGTGTTTCAGTACACAAACGATTTTGACAGCAAAAATAAACCCTTACGCACTGTGTTGCTAGACTTTCTTTGTCAGTTTGTCATCCACTATAGATTAACATGCAGCAGCTATTAAACGCTGTCGCCTTGCTCTCAGGTTTCTGATGGTTTGCTATATTTGTTTTCTCTTTGGATGTGCACGACAACACCAATACTTGTTTCGAATGTTTCTATGGCATTGCAATTTTCACAACAAGAACAATACGGTGAGGAAGGTGCTGTTCAATTTTGTTCCTGAGCTTTAAAACCACATCTCTGCTGTTGGACTCGAGCGTGAATCACCTGATGTTTCTGCCTGCGTTTCTTTTCCTGCTCGAGCTTCTGCTGCTTCTCCAGCTTCTCCGTCATGCGGGCCTCCCTCAGCGTCTGCCGCTTGCTGCGCCTGTACGCCTTCGAGTTCAGCGCCGTCTCCAGAGTCGTGTCTCGCCTCATGCACGCCACCACGTCCTGCCTCAGCTGGAGACATGCACAGGTTACGGATCAAACGCAATTTCCTGGTGTATTAATACTGTTATAACTGTACTTGTTAACTAAGTTTGGGTCAGTGAGAAAACTTTAAAAAATGTAGTACATAACCCACAGCTTCAGAAGTAACATTGCATTTTTATTAACCCTAAAATGATCACTTAAGAAACAACTTATTTCAGACAGTCATAGCTTTGAACTGTGAATATTTTGTACATTAGAAAACCCTGTGTAATACCTGTTTTTCTGCATATACTAAAATATGTCATTATTTTTCTACTTATGGACAAATCTGTTCAATAGTAATACTTATGTCAGTACTTCTATTTATGAAATAATTTGTGCAATACTACTGATGTGTGCAATACTGTTTTCTCTACAAGTAGTATTTATGTTATTGTGGTTTATTTTAGATTTTTTTACTGATATTCCTTAAATGCTCACACTATGCCCTTTGCTGCTGTAACAATGCAAACTTCCCTGAAAGTGGGATTAATAAAGCTTATCTTAACTTATCTTGAAGATGCTGCTGAACTTTAAAAGAACTTCTGCAAATTAAAGCACTTGATGTGCTGTTAGTCTAAAACCAAAAAGCAATCCACTTGAAATCTAATAATTTTGTTATATCTTTTGTTTTAACATATATATAATAAATTGTCAAAGACTGACTAAAAAACTGTCAAACTCTACTGTCAAGACATAACTTATTCTCAAAGCTATTAATATAACAAAAAAACAATTTTACATCACACTCTGAATCTGTCCAAAAATAGTCCATAAACAATAAATCCAGGGCACAAAACTGTGTGAATTCAATGTTAACCGGACTGCATATATATTGTACAGCAGTCATACAGTAAGTGTTTTGACCCAATGTCAGTGATAACAACAGTGAACCTCTTCCCCTGGACCTGGAGTCCTTGTAGTAAAGGTTTTACACTTGTTAAACATGAGACATGGCAGCTGTTGTTTACCTGCCGCTGGAAGTTGAGCAGACGCAGCGCTTTGAGCTCCACTGTGGCTTTAGTCCTCAGGTCAGGAGGCAGTGAGCCTGGCAGACTTTCCAGCTCCTGGATTCGATGTGCAATCCGAGCCTGCAGTCTGAAAGCCGTAATGAAGACATTTAGTCAAACTGTAGCAGACTGGACTAAACCATATGCCAAAAGATATATCACAAAAAACCCCACACACACTTGAGAGAAGCAGGAATGTCACAGGAACTAAAATGTTGATACCACACCTGCAGAAAACCTCTGAAAGCATAATGGTGCTTGATTTTCTATAGAAAGCATCTTAATTATTGTACATAGGTACTGGAGATTATGGACAGCAGCAACCTGTGTCATGCAGACAGCAGGTGCAGGTGCAGTAATTGTTGCTGTAAAAAAAAAAAAAAAGAGCTGTGTATGAGGGATATTTCACCGTTGAGTCACGTCTGAGCAGCTCACAGGCAGACATCCAGCTCTGTGCACATAACTGCAGGCGGGGGAGTCTCCATTGTTATTTTATATTAAGAGGTTGTCAAAATGAACCCATTATTAAATAATACTAACCCGTTATTATACAAATAGATCCATGAGATCAAAAAACTCAATTGCTTGAAAAATTCACATGTCCAGGCTTAAAACAAACTGGGCTGCTTTTACAGTTTTAGCCCCTTACTGTCAGAACCGCTCAGCCGCTGGCACAAGCTTATAAAACCCACCTGTACAGATTGACATTTGTATAATATTGTACAATGTTTTTTCTAATGTTGCACTGCTTTTGATGTTTTGCTGTCTTTTCTAATCTTTTATTGTCGTATTCAGTGTTTCTTTTGAAAGGTTGCTATGGAAGTAAAGTTTTATTAGGGTCCGAGCACGACCAGTGCAAGGACCCTATTGAAACCCTTGTGATTTTTTTTTTTTCGCCATCAATAAACCCGTTTTGAGGGAAAACTCACCAAAATTTGCACACAAATTTGCACGGTATATGAAATTCATATCACAATGGAACTGGGCATGGAAATGACAAAACAGCTGCACAGCCTAGAGCTACGCAAATTTGGTAGCTATATAAAACAGGTCACAAAAAACTTGACCAGCGTCAAGCTCTAAAATGCAACACTGTCCAAAATTTCAACAGAGTCCCATCGGCGCTATGTTTGACTTAGAGCTACAAATATTGGTACACATATGTAGCTGGTCGGGACTCACAAAAAAAGTCCATCAGTGCGTTTCCGTAAACCCAACAGGAAATCCGCCATTTTCAAAAAATGGAGAGTATGCCTGACATTTTTCGCTCATTTTTGGCCATTTTCTAAATCTATCTCCTCCTAGGAGTTATGTCGTACACACCTGAAATTTGGCCAGAACAAACTACAGGACGTGGTGATTGAAAGGTATTAAAATCTGCCGCAAAAGTCTAACAGCATGGAAATGCCAGCCCGCGCAATTTTAATAAAAAGGCCACTTTGTTTCCAGCATTCAACGGAGTCCTGTTGGAAGGCCGCTTCACTTAGACCTACAAGTGCTACATGTGCAGCAGGTCAGAACACGCAAAAAAGTCAGTCAGCACCAAGCCCTAAACCCAACAGGAAGTCCGCCATTTTGAAAAAACCCGGTGAGCATTTTGGCGATTTTCCCTTATTTTTGGCCATTTTCAAAATCGGTCTTCTCCTACAGAGAAGGTTGTACACATCTTAAATTTGGCCATCACAAACTACAGGAGGTGGTGATTAAAAGTTAGCAAAACAGTCTGCAAAAGTCTGACGGCGTGGAAATGGTGGCCTGTGGAATTTGGAAAAAACACCATAAAACAGTACATGCTGTGTAATTGTCCTGTGTGCTCCCATCGGCCTGAGACTTTAGACACGTGCTCCGAGTCCCAGCCAAAGCATGTTGCCACCACGGTCCGACACGCACACCACCACAGCTCACCGTTAAACAGGAAGCAGCTTATAACGAGCTCCAATCTTCCTGAAACTCGACATGCCAGATCAGACTCCCACCGGAGCATATTTGCGTCGTACCCCGACGTGCGCAAAGGCGAGGACCTGCCCATCGCCGCTTGCGGCTTTAATTATTATTATTTTTAGCAAATGATCCTATTCTGAAATGCTGTGACTTGCAAAAGCTTCATGTATTGTAGCAACACTGCACACACTGGTTTAATTCATAATGTAAACTGGGTAATGCTCGTTCGTTAACATCATTACTGTTCAGTCAGTCGTCGTGCCACCATGTGTGTAACACGTTTTTGCATTTAAAGAGTTTATTTTGAAACACATTCATCGGATAGATTTTTCAAAATTCAGAATAATGAAAATTTGGTAGTATAGGTGCAAAATTTCTGGGATCCAGACATCCTTGGATAGAAGTGCACTTTTTAGACTCTACCAACTCTGCTAGCTCTTGATGGTAGAACTTCGCATTACATTTTGTATTTTGCCCACTCTCCTGAGTTCGCCTTCAGCGCAGTAGATACATGTAAGATAAATGCAAAAAACCGAAATGAAAATTTGCCACTGAACATAATCTGGACGCTGATTATGATTGTCACCACGATAAAAACTATCAAATAATTCAGTAATATATAAACATTATTTCTAGGAGACAGGGTGAATATCAACATAGCTTCTGGCTGTTTTGTATTTTGATATCTATGTTGCAGGGGCGCTGTGAGCTGTTTACCTACTTTCACTCGGGGCTGATTAAAAAAGCAGAAAATCCATAAGGAGATATTAAACCGCACATATATTGTAGCATTCTAATATAGTTTATCTCACCTCACACTGACCTAAGAGAAAATTTAACAAAAGCTGATAACATCGGAAATTATTTTGATTAGAAATCTTCCCAGGTGCCTCAGAGGCGTATCAATACATTACTACAGTGTAGTACTCGCAATGTTGTTATTTTTTCCAATAAATTCACAGAGGTGCTACATGTTGAGATGGCATAATTGGACAGACAAAGTGAACAGAAGCTGGCTGTCTCTGGTTAAGACCAATACAGCTTGTCAGGGGTGATCTGAGAACATGAAGACGAGATCATCAAAGCAGCGGCCTTGAATTCAAATAAAGAAAAACAAGCCTCAGGGCCGGAGCAGGAGATAAAGGTCTGTGGAGCTTTCCTCATGTCTCTACCAGTCAGCTCTGTTTTCAGAAAATGATACAGCATGCAGAGTGATATCACAGGGGATAACCGTACGCTGTGATTGGTGATGTACGGCACCTTTAACAAAGGCCATAGAGGCTCCAACACTAGATGCTTTTTATATGATTAACTTCACAGGCACAACATGTACGCTGAACCTTTTCAAACACAAGTCTCACTCTGGAATTGTGTTGGCAAACTTTCGTGAGTCAATTTTCTGTAAAAGTTACAACATCAACCTGACGCAATGTGACCTCATATGACTTCATTCACAGCTCAGATGTCAATTAAATCTATTTAAATTACAGGCACCAGTATGCAAAGGGTTAAACACTTCTCGCTCTCTCTCGATCATGAACAAAAAGGGAACATTTCATACACTTGCAAAAGGTGCAGTGTGAATAACGTGCACCTTTAAACACACACCAGCCCGTGTGTGCATGTCTCTCCATTTAGTTATTTAAAACACTTTGATTGCTGGATCTCAGAACAGAAAGTTACCTTTAAATTCTCACTTGCTGCTGAGTTCTAGGAAAGAGTGAACTGACCTTCCAATTCAATATGTAGTCGGTAAAAAAGCTGTGTTTCACAGAATATAGAAGTTCATAAAGTCTTCTTTAAAACACAGGAAAGGTGAGGAAAATAGAAAACAAAAATGTTTATTGCTAATAACCTAAAAAAAACTGTGATTTGAGCACAATTTTGTAGCATACCAATTCAAAAAAGACAAAAAATATGTCAGTAATGAAGAGTAGACACAGAATTTAAGGGATTTTAAGGAATGTTTATACTGGTTTCATAACTAAATGTTGAATTCAGAAAAGGCAAGAATTGTTTAGGAATCAAATGTACACTAATTGTTTCCATGCAGTGCGGTAAAACCAGCACTGTGATAAATACCTGTACTCTCTCTCCTGCAGGATTCCCACCGGGTCCAGGCCCTGGGGCTTCTGGACTGGCGTGATGCGGTTCTGCTTCTGCTGCATCTGGAGCATGGGGGACACCTGCTGCCCAGGAGGCTGAGGGGTTGCTGAACTGCCGGGTATCGGCCCCGCTGGCACTGCAGACGTCTGAGGCGGTGCAGGGGACGGGCGGCCGCTGGCGACGGGGGTGAGGTGCTTCTGAGCATTGGCTTGATTTTCACCGACCTGACCTGGAGACCAAAGACGGCGTCAGTTATTAGGTCCATTCTCCATTATCAAAAACTAAAAAAATATATATTAATGAGAGGTTATTTCTATGTTAACATATTGTGTATTTATACATTTGCAAACAGAAACCAACAGGGAAGTGTCTGCAGTTGCATTTATGCTGCAGATTGAACTGCACACTGATCAAACACAGTCCAAGAACTATCTTCAACAACAAGAACAGAGCACTGATCCCAACATCTTGGAGTCTGTGATTAGGTAACAAAAAAAAAACCAGAAGACAATGAGGCAGCCTAAATACACTAAGTCGATGTTTGGAGAAACCTGTCTGCCAAGTACCCTGAAAAACTGTGCAAATGTACTGAGGAGAACTGTCTTGGTTTTTAAAGGTAAGCTATCGTCACACTGACTTATCTCAATAAGTAAAGACTTCTCATGAGAATCCTCTCTTTACTTTAGCACCTAAAAGTTTTGCACAGTTTAAAGAGCCTTCGTTCACACACCAGTCTTCCTCTGGGTTTTTGAATTAGATGAAGATGCACAGTACACTAGAAATGTATTACAACACCATGTCATAAATCATACAATAAATCATAATTATATCATGCCCTTAACTTTAGGTGAAAGGAGTGTGATTTGGAGTTTGACGAGGCAATTTACGGGAAATTTCAGCTGTTTAATTTGGCTTTTTAGTCAAACTACCAATGTAGCAAACATCTCTATATGCAAGTGCAGCCTTCACACTGGTTAAATTTACTTTACCATAATTTGCAAGCTGCTAAAAATCAGATGTTCACAAGTCTGCACATCAACAACACCAGTGATAAAGGATGAACTGAATTTCTGCAAAAAGAGTGAAAGTGGTTAATTAAAATGTGCCCTAAAGTACTTTTGCCACACAAGATCTAACCTTTAATCAGAAGCAGTGTGACATGTGAAGGTGGAGAGACGTGAACGTGTAAAGAGCTGATCCTAATGAGAAGTTCCTCACTTTTGTTTACAGGGCTTCTTTTCACATCCTTCACTGTCCTGCACTAAAATTGTCAAAATATATTCCGTTTTTTTTTATTAATAAAAACCAAACAACAAATTGTATGTTCCATGCTCTGTCAGCTATTATAACAATAGGTTTCCTGATGTTTTTTTCTGGTTTTCCTGCTGTTTGCTGTGATGTAGTTTCAGCATCTGTGTCAATATATTTATGCAGGTATTGTATCAAAGTCATATTTTTTAAGTGCACTGGTGACGTACATGCTGGTATCTTGTAACCATCATAATAAAGCCTTTTTTTAAAAATTGTCACTGTAGCGAAACAATGTGTCTTGATTTTGGATGAGGAAATACATATTCTGTTTTGTGGATAATAAAACGCACAACACCTCAAATATTCATTCCTTCATTTCTAATGAAAAGCAAATTATCGCATTGTGCTACCTGGATATAAAAACCTTTACAACTAGGTTAATAGCTGAGTAGTATCACTGGGCTGGACATCGTTAGATTTGTAGATAAATTACATCTTCTAACCCACACTTAAGTAGGCAGGTACACATCAGCCGTTGTTTCCTCAGTTCATTAAACCCATTACAGGTCCCTTTTCACTTTCACAGATTGGTACCAACACATAGCATTAAGGGTCTTTTCCTTGTCAGCTTTGGCTGGAAGAAGAACTTTCCTACTTTCCCTCCAGTGACTCGTTAATCTAAACCTAGACCCTCTAAATCGCTCTGAAACTTGTATCTCAGCTGGGACCAATTTGGTGTCAGACCAGGGACTACTGATATGTGACTACTTCATATTTGCATTTACTTGGTTTTAAATTGACCTCAGTGGGAGTTAAGGGCTGTTCTTTTTGCATATGGGGCTTTTGGATGTATGTACTAATTCAGATTTCCTCTTTTTGAAATATATTTGCATAGCGCACCATTTTATTATTCATATATGGTAAAAAAAAAAAAAAAAGTTCAACGATGTTGAGTTTTAATCATAGCTATGCTTAAGAACCTATCAGCCTTAAGCCAACAGACAGACAGTGCCAACATTTTGGGACAAATGGCTCCCATCAGTATAATTTTGGCTACGCTGGAAAGTTTTATCTTTCATACCATCTGTTTTTACAACACGGAAGAAAAATAAACTGAAGGGGATTCATATGAATTATTGTGAGTCATTATCAGGAGCTAATTCATTTGTAAGGTACAAGATAACTGCACTTGTGACTGATGACCCACAAAAAGCCTGAGTTTAGCACTGATTTCTGACGGTGATCACTTTGGAGTATTACGGTGAGAATTACAGACAACTGGAGGAGCTTTCATTGAATAAAACTTTCCTTGAAGTGTTAATCAGTCCTAAAATTTTAATGGTAGCTATGATCCCTCCATCTGGAACGCCACACTTAAAGTCTACCGTTTATAGCAAATAATTAAACTAGAATTATCGCTTCACAATTTATTACATCAGCCAACCAGTAAAGCAGTTGCAGTGTACGTCCACGTCCGCCCTGTCTCAACTTTTGAATAAAAGAGGCCACCACTTAATCAGTTCATCCTATCAGATCATGGTGTGAAATTGAGTCTTAGCCAAAAATGCGTTTTGTGAGGTCACAGTTGACCAAAAGAAGTCTAATCAGTTCATTTTCAAGTCCAAGTCAACGTTTGAATGAGTTACTTTCAGGTGTTTGTGAGCCATTGCGTTCATGAGAATGAGACTCACAGACAGATACTGACCTACAGACAGATGTACAACAAAAAAAATCACCTAAGCTTGAAAAAAATTGCTTTAAAACCTTGTAAATTAGAGAATGAAGAGAAAAAAAAGAGCTGTAAAAACTTGCTTCAGTGACAAATACCTCTACAAGTTATTGATTTTAACTCACCTAAATGGGCTAAATTTAATTTAATGTAACGCCAGACTTTCTGGTTAAGTCACTGTACTGTACATCTGCCAGTAACGATTTGTGTCTTATTTGACAACATACGTGGGCGTCCCTCTTCAAATCTATCCATCTTCAAAGGGTGTGTGGAAAGATGCTGCAACCTTTGATTGCAGCATCCTTTCACACTGCGACGTTTAGCTTCAAAGAATTCGCTGTAGTGTCCTTTAAAGAGAATCTGAGGTGTAGCTATACATCAAACAGAAGTGTGTAGCCGGGTCGCCATCAAACCTTTCATTCTCACTCACGCTGGATTGTAAATACGTGAAGTGAAAAGGTGTCAAAGTGAATGTAGCTCAATGGGTTGTTAGCTCAACTGGTCAACTATGCAGAGATACACATCATGGACAGACGAGTGACAAATTAAAAGTAAAACCGAAAAACAGCGTCTTGATAAGGTGTTCAGCTCCAATGTGCCTCAGCACTGATTCTCCAAGTCTCTGGAGGGATGAACGCCATTTTTACAGAAGACATTCCCTCATTGCCATCCTGGAACAGCTCACTCCCACCAGGACAGAAATGTTTCATCATAGAGGTAGTCACTCAGAACAGCTTTGGATTGATTTATAGTGACGCTTCTCTCTAAGTGGATCCAAACCAAACCAGCGAAATGCCCCCCCCAGAACACAACAAAGCCACCGAATCAGTACACTGTAGGGGTCAAGCATTCATGGTTTCCTTTTGATACGTCACCCGTCTGGAGATTGACAAAGTACTTACCGTCAGACCAAGGCTTGGGTCCTGTGCTTTGATTGTGTCCTTGCATTGCTGGGGTTGGGCATGGACTTGACTGGGGACCACCCATAGGTGCCATTGGCATACCTTTTAACACAATTACAATTTATATTTTAGTAATTCATCTAGTACATATTTAAATTGTAAAGCAAAACTCTCTCTGAGCCTTTATCATGGCCTAAATAGATAATGTAAGGATGTGACAGGCTGGTAGCCACATTCTGACGAAAGGTTTGTTCATTATTTGAAGAAAAATGCTCCACATTAACATAAACGATGTCAAATCACTGGACAAATGTAGGTTCTGTGCTGTTGGTGCAGCAGAACAAGTTATCTGAGTATGTCAACTCAATGTATTTTTTAACGTTCTTCTGACATTTCATAGATTATTTCCAAAAACTAATCATTTGATTCTTATACCCACCTTCAAGTCTGACATTAGCAGCACGTGGACCACAAATTTACAGAAAAACATAATCCTAACTCCCACTTTCCTGTTTAAGGATCACGCACTGCAAAAAGAAGAACCTGGGCAACTAACAGATTCCCTGTCTTCATAAAGTAGCCTACATATTGTAATAATGTAAAGCTGCATCTCCCTACCTGGAGGCCTGTTGTAAGGGCTGGAACTAGGAGCCTGCTGCTGCTGCTGTGGTGGTGGTTGTGGCTGCTGCTGTTGCATTGTTGGGAGGCTCCTTTTGCCCTGAACAGCCAGCTGGAGGTTTTCAGGCAGCGGCTGCCCACGACCCAGGATCTTGTAGGCCAGAATCTGAGCTCTGAGCTGCTGCAGCTGGACCTGACTGAAAGCAGATGGTCCTCGCCCCTGCTGGGCCATGCTGGACATGCTGGTCATACCTCCTTGGGGATCCATGGGCATCATGGGGCCTGACTGGGTGGGAGGCATGTGGGGAGGTGTAGGTCCACCTCCACCTCCTGACATGGGACTAGATGCATGCTCATGGACTCCCATGGGGGACGGGTGGGGCGACATGTATCCTACAGCAGACAGAAAGTGATTTCGTGGTTTTACAAACTTAAAATTTATATCAGGATCTTTAAAGCAGGGGCTCACAACCTGAAGGTCGGAGCCAAAATTATTCAGTCTTAGGGGTTGGTAATATTAACAAGACAGAAGAGCAAAAAATACAAGCTTCTCTGCTTCTTTTCTTGTTAATTAAATATTTCACGTCTTTGAAACTTTGAAAAGTGTTTTAATAAAACACTCTCCGAAGGAATAACAACTATTTATTTGATTTGGTTACTTCTGGAGACGTGTACAACTTTTAAAAAGAATAATTAAAGCTAACAAGACAAGCAGAATCCATTTCTTTTAATTATTTCTGTGAGTGAACCCATAGCTTTCAGATTTAAAAACAAAGGGATGAGCTACCTTGGCTGTGCTGGTCCATAGGACTCTGTGGAGGCCCCATGCCACTGTGAAGAGATCTCATCCCCACACCTTTCATGTGACCAAAGTGCATCGCCTCAGCCATTGACTTGTCATTCATGCCCTCCATGGGCTGAAAACAGAAAAAAAAAGACTCAGGATGCAGACATGTGCACTGTACACAACACATGTTCTCCCTCAACTGTAGTATCTGATGCAACTGTGATGAAAACTGTTTGTCAATCAAGCGTCTCATATACAGTATACGACAGCTTTAGTGCTCAGAGGCCTCGAGCCAAAACTGTCAAAAAGCCCCAGTTAAACACATACAGTAAATAAAGATCTTTTAAGATTTGGAAGAAGACACTTGCAGGCTTGTACTGCCACTTTTCCACATAGCTTGATGGTGTAGAAAATGAACTTTTTGCCTACTTTTGTCCACAGGCAATTGCTTTTCATTTATCAAGACATTTGTGAACCGGAAATGACAAGTGACAATGAAAAATACAGCCCAACTGAGAAGCCAGAGTATTTATGTTCAAAATAAACAAAGTCATTTGTGGTATTTCAGGGCTGTCATTTCTTACAACTTCATCAACATGTGCATCAGGCAGCACATGCATCAATACTGGCAGATATATGGGACAGGCAAATTTACCTGTAAGGCTCTAGTAAAGCATCCAATTAAACACTATACAGTAACAATGAAGGCTGTTGATGACAGACTGAAGACAATGTGATATAAAAATACAAACTACAACACTTTCCTTGTGCAGCAGTGACACCAACAGACGCCTAACAGTAGCATGCACACTGTACCTTGTGCATAGGATACATGCTGTCCTGAGAGTAATCACTTTGTCCCTGTCCCTGCATGCCATGAGGTGCGTTGGGCGTCCCGGGTCCAGGACTGGGTCCCATCATACTGTGAACAGAGCTTGGTGAGGGATCTGGTCCTGGGCTGGGACCCAAGATGGGCCCCGGGGACAGACCTGCCCCAGGGGAAGGGCCAGGATGGGACATTCCACCTGATGTGTCTGAGGGGGTGGACATCTACCGAACAGCTGGTAGGAAACCAGACAGCTACAGAAGGAAAAACAAGGAAGACATGATTTTAATGCCACGCAAACAATATAATCAGAAAATCTAAACGTCATTTAATGTGTTAACTGTTCTTTACATGTATTTTTTATATGTAGAATGCAATATAATGCTTATCATGACTAAAGAAACACTCTTAAATGACCACTGGATTAAGTCAACACATGTGCAGCAGTTTTAATAGAAAATGATCACAAGCACTCTTTACTACATGGCTGCTTACTTGGATGTGATGATATTGCATGAATTAGGGCTAAACAAGACAGAGAAAAATCATGCTGACAATATTTTTGACACACACTGAGATCGCAATGAGTTACTTTTAGTGGAAATGGTAATTTTCCATGTCTTTTCCACTGAAAAAATATAATCATGTGATGTACTGTGGTCTGTACAAACAAGCATGTACCCTTATGTCTAGTTAATATGATTTCTAGGTCAGGGCGTGTCTGTAGCTTCACGTGGTTCATTTAAAATGGCATCTTCTGACTAGAGCTGCAACGACTGATCAACTAATCAATCAGCTGTCAAAAATTAAACTGATCACTAATTATTTTGATAATAGAATAACTGATTTAAGTACATTTAAGAATGAAAATCTAAATTTTCTGAGTCCAGCTTCTAAAAATTTAGATTTTCCTGTTATCTTTCCTCCTCTAAGAAAGTAAACTAAACATCTTTGGCTTGTGAACTTTTAGACGTCACTTTGCCAAACACTGACTGACATTTTTCACTATTTTCTGACGTTTTATCGACCAAATAACTGGTCGAGTGATTGACAAGACAATTGAAAGATTAATTAGACAAGAAAAATAACAGCTGTGGCTCTACTTGTGACACATTTTCACTTTTATCAAAAAACACACACCTCCAGAGATTTGATATTGCACTTAGGCATATTGTGATGTATGTATAATGTATGTAATATTACATTTCAAATCATTGTGCAGCCCTCATACAGATGCTTTTTCAATCTACGTTTATATTTTACACACTAAAAATATATATATATTCAGATCCACATGTGTAAAACCTCAAGTTTAATTAGGATTCTGTTTTGTTTATTGTTAAGCTGCCCTGTAAACAGAGTCCCTTTACTACTGAAATTAAAACATATTTTGACAACAAATTGCCGTTTTTTTTATTGCATTTTCCAATAAAAAGCCGAAATGTCATCCCCAAAGAATGCTGTGATCACATGTAATACTTAAATTTTAAGTTTACAAGCTTCAATGTGCATCAAAGGCAACAGCAGCCATAACATACACGTACATGACAGACATATGGAGTTGCGTTGAGTATGTGGCTGCAGAGCGCATTCGCAGCGTAACAACATACATATACCGTTAAATAAATACACTAAGAACAACATACACAACAAATACAGACAAGATTAGCTTTACAACTAGACTAGGGTTAGCGTTGTGTGTTTCCTAACAGTCTCCGTACAGTTACAGGCATGAACGTTAGCTCGGCAACGACCAGTCAGAAGAATCAACTCTGATTGGATCATGGCTTCCCCAAAACTGGTGGCCATCACGGATGTGCAGACAAAATCAAAGTTAAGATGAAAGTCAAGCTCCTGACGTGACCTTGTCAACATTTTAAGAGGTGCGGTGTAACTTTAGCGTAACACTTAAAAAGACGCGGTGTCAACAGAACTAATAATCGGGACGTTTTAAGCTGTCCGCTGCGCTCGATCGTTGGACAACTCGGCTAACGGCTAACTAGCTGACGTTAGCTAGCACAGCCTGCTAGCTAGTCCGGGCGGCGCTGGCTTCACACACTAACTGCCGAACTGTCAGAAAGTTTGGACAGTTAGCAGAACGCAGAGTAGTCACATGTCGGTATTCGTCAAAGACGAAGCGCCATCAGTCGTTTTACCTTTCGGCCGGAGTGAAACTGCACACAATTAGATGGAATTATTATAATGTTTCTTCAAAATATGACTGCTGTCCATAAGTTCACTCCCCCTCGGTGTTGTTTTGCTGACATATTTAGAGCGTTCTTGTGTCGCCATTACTGATTTGTCACTGTCAGCGGAAGTCCCGCCCACTTGCTCTGTGATTAGTGGGATGCCACGTCAATCATTTTATTGAGTTGTTTGGGCGTGTGTGTGCTCTGTAACTTTCTGCACGGCTGCAAGGGGACGGTTATGCTCGTGTAAAACTTTGCTACAGACTTGGAGATATGTTTTGAGCTTTAGCCAGAGTTTTTGTACAGATTTGAAAACACTGGAGGCATTACATTTTACCCTGATAATCACACGATTTTCAAGGTATTAGTGTGAGCCACTTTCTTTATGTTTCACATCAGTGTCACAGAGTGTAGGCCTGCTGTAAAACAATGCTTGTCAAACTGCCATGAACTTGTCTAATTTATGATGATTTACAGCTACGATCTTGTGCAAAGTATGCCCTGCAATAAAAAACTTGTGGGAAACACTGAGTCTCACCAGGATTGCCAACTTTTAGCTCCCAGCTGGAGTGAGATTGTGCAGCATGCAGGCTGCTGATGCTCATTTTCATTTTTAATTAGACTTTTTATTTGTAATTTGGGTGCAGAGAAGAGAAAAGATGCAAGTGCTGGTCAGTCGAGAAAGTTCACTCATTAAGTCCACTAACACAATGTCCTAAATACATAGTCAGACCAAATCTGCTGCTCAGAGGTGATAAATAAAACTCAGTACTGCACTGAGCAGTGTTTTGCATCAACAGATTGACTTCACTGAAGCTATATAAAATGTGAGCTGAGTTATATCCTTCCCCAGTTGTAACTGTCAGCATCGTCTTGAAAGTCTTTTCTTAACGTTTACCTTTACATTAAGATTATTTTTTTGTTGTTGTTGTAATTTTGAACTGTTTTTGTTTTTCCTCTGGTTTCATTTGATAATATTGATTTTAAGTTTTCAAGTTAAAATTGTCTTCCAGCACTTCACTTATTATCATTTATCACATACTAAAATAGACCAAAAGCCAATATGAAAAATGTATACATTACAAAATGTAAAAAAAAATAACAAATGTAAAATGTAGTTCATATGAACTGATCAAATCAAAAGAGTATTTGCAGACTGTTTTTATATTTTTGTGTGTAATCAAGCAGAAACTGCAAATGAATCCTGATATATAAACCTTTATGTTGTGTTTTTTGTTGGTCGTATTGTATTTTAGAGAATTATGTAAAAAAAAAAGTGCATGTGTAAAGTTTCCAGCTGAAGCAGTGAAGCTACAGTAAACATCATCTGACTGGTTTTAGTGACAGTTTTTGTACCCAGAGGCTAAAATGTTCTCCAACATGTATGTGCTCCTCTGTGCAGTCTGTAAAGTGAACACAAGATGGAAGCAGTGACCAGCGGTTGCCGCAGTGAACCAGCTTCTGCAGCTCTGTGCCGTCACACAGCAGCACCTGTGAGTATCTACATGCATCTTACTTCTAAACAAACATGTCAAGTCTACAGGGACTGAGTGCTGAATCCCACATTTAAATCATTGAGTCTGATGATAGCACTGTGGAGTGTCGAAGGCGAGCCATGCAAATGCTGCACAGGTTCAGCAATGCTCCATTTGCATCCTTCTGATATCAGAAACTGTGTTTTGTTTTCATTATGAAGCGATAGAGCTGTTTCCACTGTCCATTTGCTTGTTTAAACTCAGTGGATATATTAGTTTTTCTATGCTGTTTTCTCTGTGTAGTACAGTCCATAATTTGTCTGCATTTACATCAAGTGTAGCTTATCCAAATAAATTAAAATAACGATAAGAGCTGCAGCCTGTTTTAGGAATGAAATATGTTACCATCATATTCAAAATGTTTCTCTGGGATCCTACTTAGACCTCTTTTTTTTTTTTTTTTTTACAAACTGGAGCTTTTCCAAAATCACTGGAGGTAATAAATTATCTCAACAAGCTGCTGGCTTTTTTTGTACACACCCAAACATGGCTGGAGAAGACAGTGTGGGACTGGCAAGCTTCAGCTTTAGTTAAAAGCAGAAATGTGCTGGAGAAAGTAGGTCATCTTTAATTATTCTTTTTAAAAAAATAAGGTGCACACAAAGTACACGATCGTTTTAAAACCCTTTTTTAGATTTAGTCAACAGAAATAGACTCACTATTATTCAAAACTCAGTCAACAGAGTTTCCCTAGGTACATGCTAGCTGTCTGTCCATGAGCGATGACATTTTGATGACCTTGTAAGACATTCAAAGTCCTGTCCGCCCTTCGTTTGAATAACCCATACCTCACCGATCAATAAGCAAAGCTGCTCATTTAAACCCTGATCTTGACTTCCCCTCCTTAACAATTCTGCCCTTCCTTACATCTCTTCATAAAGGATGTGCACAAGGTTCCTGAATGTAAATTTTACCCAAATAAACAAATCTAATTAACTCTGTGGTCAAAGCCGCCACCCCCTTCAGATTCACCGAGCCAGGAAAGGGCTTGGCCGCAGTCATTTGTCAGTGAAAGGACTAGTGGTTGTGGCTTCCATTCACCTTGAAACCTGCCGTAAAAAAAAAAAAAAAGAAAAAAGGCTCACTGGCATGACATTTTATTCAAAGTCTATAGGTTTTTAAATGGTTGCCTTGGACAATAGCGCATTCTTTTACAGATGCAAAGGAGGTCTCTTGAAGTCATTTTTCTTCCTCCGTTCCTTTGATAAATCCCCTTTTGCTTTATTTGTCTGTTTAAAGACAAAATGAAATGATTTTAATTTGAATCAGGAGCACCATTCTCAGGAGTGACGTTGGGGTTTTGCTTTGAGTCTGTGATTTGTATTTTGATGCGATTTTACTTTTTAAATGTTTATTCCAGGTAACTTTACTAGACAATTTTAGCAGTATACAAACTAAATGCTCATTTCAGCTTTGAATGGAGAAACACTGGTTTCTTGTACTATTCACCGAGCGAGGTCAGAGACTGTGACTGGTCTCAGAGTAGACATGCTGCTATTTCTAACAATATTTGGGACTGTTGGGTGCTTCCATGACTGGTTAACAAACTGTTCTCAGATCAGAAGTCTTAATGAAACTATTACTAATTACATGAAACGT